TTCTTGACTGCTAACCAGAAGGTCAGCTGTTCAAACCTACCAGCTACTCCATGGAAGAAAGACCAGACGATCTACTTCCATAAAGATTTATAGCCTTGGAAACCCAATGGGGGTTGCTATGAGTTGGAAATGACTTGATGGCAATGAGTTTGGCTTTTGGAGTTATTTATTACTTTCTTCCTTCAACTTGCCTAGGGCTTACCTTACCAGTCTTTTTCTAGCTTCTTCAGATGGATACTTAAATGATTAATTTTTAAATCTTTTATTATAATATATGCACTTAAGGGTATACATTTTCCACTGACCACAGATTTAGCTGCACCTTACAAGTTTTAATATGCTACATTCTCATTATCATCCGATTAACAATAATTTCAAATTTCCATTATTGTTTCTTCTTTGACCTATATGTCATACAGAAGTATATTATTTATTATCTCACAGTTAGGATTTTATTATTGATTTGTAGCAAATTCTACCGTGGTCAGTGAACAAACTATGAATTATTTCAATCTTTTGAAAAGGTTGAGTTTCAGAATATAATCCATTTTGGTTAATGTTTGGTTAATGTGTATCTGAAAAGAATGTATATCCTGCAAACATTTGGTACAATATTCTTTATACAGAACATAGGTCAAGCTTATGAATTGTACTGTTGGAGTCTATTTCATTCTGCACTTTTTTTGGGGGGAGGGGAGTGACTATTTGTTCTAATAGTTACTGAGAGAAAATTTAAAGTCCCCTGCTATTGATTGTTGATCTTCCTGTAGTTCCATGGGTTTCTGCCTGTTGTATTTTTTCACAAATAACATGCTCATGTAAATAATGAACCAGTACATATAACACAGGACATAGCACACTTACAAAACAGCAGGTGGAGGGTGGTGGTGTTTGGGAAAAAAAAAAAAAAAACCCACAAACATCTAATGTGTGTTATATGTATAAAAATAGAGTATATATTTGAAGTAATGTTTTAATGTATAAACATGCTAAGATTGTACTGTATTATCATTATAAACTGCTCCACTTTATTTAAATTGACTTAAATTTCACTTTTTCTGGTATTACTACAGGTAGTTTCTAATGACAGGTTCTGTTCTGACAACTCTGTTGTAAGTCAGTTCTGACATCAGTCAAATAGCTAATTTTTGTGTTGTTTTTATTACTATTGCCTTTTTATTATCGGTATCTTTATGAATCAAATCTTTATTTGTCTTTGGGAGTTGGAAACATTACATATAAACTTACAGATATATTTTAATGCATACATGCATTTAAAAAAACACATTAAAAAAAAAAAAAAAACACCACAGACAGTTTTAAGTGCAATTTGTAGTAACTGGAATACATTGTAAGTTGAGAACAATATGCAGTTATACCAACTCTCATTTACTAAACATTTGCATAATATATCTTTTTTTCCCAACTCTTAATATTTCTATTTCTTTTATTTATGTTGAAGCAGACTGAGTTTTTTTTTTTTTAAGCAGTCTGACAATCTTTATTTCTGAGCAAAGTATTATTACAATTTACATTAAATATAATTACAGGATAACTTTGGGCTTATATCTACAAACTTATTTATTTTTCAGTTGTCTCAATTGGTTAGTTCATTTTCCATTCTTTTCTTACCTTCTTTTGGGTTAATCAAGGTTTTTTAATTTTCCATTGATCTCTTCTACTAGTTTTTTGCTTATTCAAAATTATTTCTTTAGTGGTTACAAGATTAAAACATGCATCTTGATTTATTAGACCCTAATATAAATAGACTATAAATAGTGAAAAAGCAAATAATCTGAGAAGTTGGATTATATGAAGAAGAATGAGGCATAAGGGTTGGAGGAATCTCATTAACAATCTGTGTTGTGCATATGACACAACCTTCACTGCTGAAAGTAAAGAGCACTTACTGATGAAGATCAAAGACTACAGCCTTTGTATAGATTATGCCTCAATAAGAAGACAAAAAGCTCATAAGTGGACCAATAAAGCAACATGATGATAAACAGAAAAGACGAAGTTGCCAAGGATTTCATTTTACTTGGATCTTCAATCACCACCCATGGAAAGAGCAGTCAAAAAACTAAATGACATATTGCATTGGGAAAATCTGCTGCAAAAGATTTCTTTAAAGTGTTAAAAAGCCAAGAAGTAATTTTGAAGACTAAGGTGCACTTGCCCCAAGCCATGGTATTTTCAATCACCTCATATGCATGCAAAAGCTGCAAAATGAATAAAGAAAACCAAAGAAGAATCGATGTCTTTGAATTCTGGTGTTGGTGAAGAATACTGTATATACCATGGACTGCCAGAAGAATGAACAAATCTGTCTTGGAAGATGTAAAACCAGAATGCTCTTCAGAAGCAAGGATGGTGAGATTTCATCTCACGTACTCTGGACATGTTATCAGGAGGGACCAGTCCCTGGAGAAGAATATCATACTTGGTAAAGCAGAAGGTCAGAGAAAGAGAGGAAGACTCTCAATGAGATGGAATGACATAGTGGCTGCAACAATAGGTTCAAATACAGCAATGTTTTTAAGGATAGCACAGGATCAGGCAGTATTTTGTTCTGTTGTACATAGGGTACTAGAAGTAAGAACTGACGCGAGAGCACCCAACAACAATAACAACAATATGAATTACTATTTTTAACCATTCTCTAGATAATCTAGGGGAGCTCTGGTGGCACAGTGCCTAAGGCATTTGACTGCTAACTAGAAGGCTGGTGGTTCAAACCCACCAGCCACTCCTTGGAGGGAAGGTTGGGCCATCTACTTCCGTAATGATACTGCCTCGGAAACCCAAGGAAGCGGGTTGTTATGAGTCAGATCCGACTTGATGGCAGTGGGTTGGGTTTAGATAATCTAGGATCTTAGAAAATTTTAACTTTATTTGCCTCTTCCCATCTGTTGTGTCACAGCCATGCATTATAATTCTATACATCACCACTGACATCGAGTTAATTCTGACTCATTACCAACTCTATAGGACGGAGTAGAACTACCCCATTGGGCTTCCAAGGTTGTACATCTTTACAGAAGCAGACTGCCTCATCTTTCTGCCACAGAAAGGCTGGCGGGTTCAAAGTATCCATTTTTTGGTTAGTAGCTGAATGCCTTAACCACTGTCACCAGAGTATATACATTAAATAATAAGACATTATTGTTATTTGGTGGTTGAAATTAATTGACAGGTTACTATTTATCCTTTCTGTTGCTCTTTGTTCCTTTCTGCATTTCCATGAGTCCATATAAGATTATTTTTATTCTGCTTGAAGAACTCCTTTCAGTAGTTCCTAATGCAGGTCTGCTTGGATGAATTCTATCAAATTTAGTAGTATGAAACATCTTTTTGGCCCTTACTTTTGAAGTAATTCTATATCCAGTGAAAACAGAATTCTAAGCTGGCATTTCTTTTCTTTCCGTACTTGCAAAATGTCATCCATCATTTCCTGGCTTCCACTGTTTCTACTGAAGGAAGCTAATATTCTTTTCTCTAGCTGCTTTTAGTATTTTTAGACTTTCAGCTGTTTTATTATCCTTTCCTTAATATACTTTCCTTGTATTTACTCTGCTTCATATTTAGTGCTTTTTGAATCTTTAGCATTTTTTTTTTTTAATTTGAAAAATCTCAGTCATTATCTCTTAAAATATTGCATTTTCCTCACGGTCTCTTTTCAGCCCTTCATTCACTCAACTATATATATGTCAGACCTTTTAACTGTGTTCCATGTGTCTAATACTTTTCTGTACATCCCATCATTTTTGTTCTTTATGCTTTGGTCAGTGTGGTAGTTAAGGTTATGTGTCAACTTGGCTGGGCCTGGTTTTGAGTAGCTAGGTGGCTGGATGTAGTTATTCCTCATGATGAAACTGGTAACCAACTCCATGGTGGACTCTACTGTAAGTAGCTAAGTAGCTATCTTAGGGATGTAATCTGCTTCCAGTATATAAGAAGGCACTTTGAGAAAGGTCCTGTGCTTTTTGGTATGCCTAGAACCTGCATGTAGCCAAGTCTTCATCATAGTGGCCTGCCATATTGTCTGCCAATCTTGGGACTGCTTCTTGACTTGAACTAGCAGCCTGCCATGTTGCTTAATAATCTTGGGTCTTTGACATTTCACTTGTCGACCTTGGGCTTGTCAGCCTCAGCAGCCAGCAGCTGCTTGAGTTAAGAGAAGCCTCCAGCTCCAGTGGGCCTGGAGCAAGAGGCAAAGCTGAATCCCAAGGTCTAGGGGCCTTTACCTAGCTCCTAGAGCTGGCACTTTGAACTCAGACTTCTAGCCTCCTAAACTGTAGCATAGTGGCTAAGACACTTGCCTGCTAACCAGACGGCTGGCGGTTCAAACCCATCAGCCACTCCTTGGAAGGAAGGTTGGGCAATCCTACTTCCGTAGTGATACTGCCTCGGAAACCCAAGGAGAGGTCACTATGAGTCGGGGCCGACTCGACGGCACATAACAACAACAACAACAACAAACTGTAAGAGATTAAACTCCTGTTTGTTCAAACCATCCACCTGGTATTTCTGCTACAGCAGCATTAGATAACCACAACAGTCAGGTTATTTTTCACTGATCTATCTTCCAAGCTAAATCTACTCTTCAGCTATGTCCAATCTGCTGTTAAACTTTTCTCCATTTCCTGGTTTGTTCTCTGAGAAACCCTTTAACCATTTCACTTGTTGACTGGCAGGCAAAAAAGAACTACATGAATAATTTTTAGAGTAAATAGTATTTGCCCCAAAAACGTAAAAAGAAAATAAAATTAGATTTAAATGAGTCAATTTTGCCATCATTAACAATTTTTGGAAGTGAAGTAATTAGACAATTAAAATCTAAATGAATGACTACATTTTATTTAAAAGAAATGAAGCACTTCCCAAGGGTTAAATAACATTGCTACAGTTTAGGTCATATTTTATATTTTTATTATGCCATGTGTTTCATATTGGCTTGATGTTAAAAGCATTGGGGGGGAAAAATAAAAGACACTTACTCTCTCTCCTTTTCAGTCAGCTTGTCGTTAATATTATCTTTGATTGTTGATCTAGATCCTTTATGAATTATAGGATATCTGAGGGGCACTTGTAGGAAAAAGGAAATCATGGAGACCAAATGTGCAGTATAACCAAGGGCAACAGCAATGCTTCCATCATCTTTTGCTGTAAATTAAAAAGCAGGAGATAACAATTACTGAACTTATAGCTATGAGACAATAACACATTTTAAGAGATTTTATAAGGAATGGTAAATAAAATATTAATCACTCATCTAAATTATATACATTTTATACAAATCTAAGCAAATTAACAGTACTACCCAACACTTAAAAACTATTTCCTAGTAATTAATTTGATGTAATGAACATTTGATATTTATCTGAAGAAAGAATTCTCAGAATACTCAAATAACCATTATCTTCCTTCTCAGCATTTTTAAAGGGGCAAATAACACACTATGTGAGCATTACACATTTTATTCATTAACAACTTTCTAGGCAAAAAAGTACATCATCATCAATTTTCAAGTAAAATAGTGTGATACATCCTTATAGGGTATGTCCTTGATATTGGTAAGGATAGTGTTGTATAACTAAGTCTATTAAATTTGAAATAAGGGAAGGAGAAGCTCTTCCTATTCATGTAATGTAGGTGGAGGCAATTCTTGGAAAGAAGGCATGTATATCCTAAAAAAAAACCTATAAAGTTATCTACCTGTTTTTCGTATTACTAAAGGGGTGATAATATAAAACTAAATTTGCTTATTTTGGTAATACATCCACACTCAATTTAAAAGAACAAAAAGTGATCTAATATCACCTCTTCCCAATGACCAAAACAATTTTGTTTAAAGATAAAAAGGTATATCTGAGAGAAGCCTATACATGGAAATCAGAAACCAAAGAGAAACAGTGAAAAACCTGAAAATTGGGTGATATTGGAAATCAGCTTTGATTCAGGTTATTCACACTCACCACACAACTCCCTGTTCCACCTATTAAAAATCTTAGATTGTTTCCCACTCCAGGCCACAGTGCTCAGTCATAGCCTTGCTGTTAAACACGGTGGTGTCGGATTTCCAATATCGAAGCTTTATATTAAAAAGCATTTTAAAAGGACCACGGGAGAAGCATTACAGGACCCAAGGGTATTCCAATACCCTCAAAAGGAAAACCACCTCCTGGTAGGGAAGTCACTTTCATCACCCCAAGACCACTGAACCTCCAGTGGGAACATGTGAGCTCATGTGGTTAATTATGGCGATTGCTGGCCATTCAGCCTCAGATGTTACATTCTGTTGCCAATCACTTTAGCTAAAAAACCAAAAGGTTTTATGTTTCCAGCATTCTGAGATCTGAAAGACTTTTTACCTGCCAAAGCCAAAACCTGGCGCTCTGGGGAGTGCTTTTCCAGTAAGCACTGATGACGTCCCTAACACCTAATGGGGAGCAGAGGTTTGTGTTCCTTATGCTGCTCTGGGGGTTAGAAAGGTCACAGATTGTTATGTTGGGGAGAAGAAGTTAGAAGGTGAGAGGGAGGGGCAGAGAAGAACAGGAATGAACTGCAAGACTCAAGTATGGGAAAAAGATCTGACTCTCAACCATGTTTAAAGAGGCTTAAAGACAATAAAACTCTAACTTTCCTCATAATAAACATATTTTATTTATGTTTTGAATGTAGGTAGCCACTCAGGGCCTCAAATTTTATGTAATTTTTATAACAATAAATTCCACAAACATGCAATAGCCATTTAAAACACAGTAAGTTAACTAAAATGTCCCTTTGATTTATGTGTTGGACAAACTGTTAATATCCAAATGCATCCAAGTACAATAAGTGATCTAAAAGCTCTTACCATCCTGCCTTCCCAATCTCTGAGGCAGCTGATTTGATAAAGGAATCAAGCACCCACTGATCCAGACAGGACAAATATTTAAGATTCTAATCACTGACACAGCATCTATGGAATCAGTTCTTGTTGTCAATGAGACACTGTTTGACATATGTACTCTCCTTCTCAAGAAATCATGTCTGCATAAAGGCACAGAAGGAAATCTGGGTCTCATTACCACAAAAAGCTCTCATGTTAGGGATTACTTAAAAATACACATGCACATACTTTTTTTTTTTTTTTTTAAGCTAAACGTCTCAGTCAATGGAACTGGGAAGAATACCCTTCACTGGACAAACTTCTCTGGTTGTGTCCTTATCTCTTTGACATACTCTAACAGTGACTTACCCATTTAGAAAAGCACAATAAATGTTGGGCCACTATGGTAAAGTTTTCCAAACAGTACCAATGCATGTAATGTAAAGTCTATGTCAGCAAAGTATCATAAGTATCATAACCAGAATGCAGTCGCTACAGAACACTAAAAGGTTGTTAGAAGTTTGGTAGAGGTTATTCAAAACGAGGAAGAAACCAAACCAAAACCAAACCAAACCCACTACCATCAAGTCAATTCTGACTCACAGTGATCCTACAGGATACAGTAGAACTGTCCCATAGGGTTTCCAAGGCTGTAAATATCTGCGGAAGCAGACTGCCTCATCTTTCTCCCATGGAGCAACTGGTGGGTTTGAACTGCCAACCATTCGGTTAGCAGCCAAGTGCTTTAACCACTGTGCCACCAAAGCTCCTGAAAACTGTGCCATGACAGTCATAATGCAGACCTTAGAATCAAACAGACTAAGGACAATTTTAACTCTGCCACTGACTACTATGATTCTGTGGAAATCTTAACTAAACACTGTAAGTCTTAGTTTCCTTGCCTTTAAAAAACAATAATAAATGTGACAGCACTGTGCACGATGTTCCATGTTACTGTATTTCTACTCACCCAACCTAAAATGTCTTTTTGCCCTTCTTTCAACAGGGGAACACTATTTCATCTTTAAAGACAGCCCAGGCATCACCTTCTCTGTAAAGGTTTTTCTGATTCCCACTAAATAGAATTGATAATCCCACTTCTTTGAGTTCTCAGGTACCAGGCATAAATTTCTAAGTCCCTAACACACAGTATGAATTCAATAAATATTTGACTAATTTTATTACAAGTCTGATGCCCTCAAATGGACTGTAATCTCATTGAGGTAGGATCAATGTCTTAATCATCTTTGTATATCCTCAACACCTGGTATAGAAGACAGCATATGGAGGGCAGACTATACATTTAGTATATGAAAGTACCGTAAGAAAACTCTAATATTACCAAAGATATTTTTTAAAATTTCTGATTCCTAGGGGCTGAAGGAGCTTTGGTGGTGCAGTGCCTCATTTGACTGCTAACCAGAAGGTTAGCGGTTCAAACCCACCAGCTGCTCTGTGGAAGGAAGATGGAGGCAATCTACTTCCGTAAAGATTTACCACCTCGGAAACCCAGTGGGGGTCACTGTGAGTCAGAATCAGCTCAATGGCAGTGAGTTTGGTTTGGTTTGAGGAGCTGTGGGGAGTGAACAGGGCCTCTTATGGATTGAATTGTATCCCCCAAAAAAAGATATACTGAAGTCCCACCCCAAGAACCTATGAGTGTGACCTTATTTGAAAACAGTAGGGTCTTTGCAGATGTAATCAAATCATTAGGATGGGCTCGAATTCAATGACTGGTGTCCTTACAAGAAGAGAAGATACATGGACAAGCAGGGAGAATGCCATGTGAAGATGAAGGCAGAGTCGCATTGATCATTTTTAAGCCCAGGATTGCCCTCAACCACCAGAAACTAGAAAAGCACAAGGAAAATCCTCCCCTAGAGCTTTCAAAGAGAGCAAGGACCTACTGATAACTTGATCTTGAACTTACAGCTTCTAGTATTGTGAGAGAATAAAATTCCGATGTTTTAAACCACTCAATTTGTGGTAATTTGTTACAGCAACCCTAGAAAACTAACACAAGGCCCTTAACTAAATTAAACATTTATTTCATTTTCTCTCTCATCTTATTTTTCAGCAACTGCTAAAAGGCTACAATAATTTTTTAAATGGTAGGGAGAGTGTATTCAGCTTGTTGGGAATTCTAAGTACAGACAGCTATAAAAGCTATGACAACTAGGAAACAAGGCATTCCAAAGAAAACAAAAATAGAATCAAGAAACATCCCAGACCACCACTCACTGATATTCCTACTTCCCTTATGTCTCCCTTCAACTCAATTTGTATTTAGTAGCCAGAGTGATTTTTAAAAGAATCACTCAGCTCCTGTTACTCCCACTCTTGAAGCCCTTCCAATAAGAATAAAATGAAAGCTCCTTACACCTCAAGGCCTCACCTGACCTGGCTTTGGCTGACCTCTCCTGCACCCCCTGATGTAACTCTTCCTCTTGCTCACTATGCTCCAGCCACAGAGGTCTCTTCCTTCCTTCTTCCCTTCCTCCTTTCTTCCCTCTTTCCTCCCTCCCTCCCTCACAACTAATTCCAATGACAGTGAAACCTGTGAGACGTGGAACTCACCAGGACTGCTTGTTTCTCTGGCTCTCACAAGTTTTCTGCCTTTGACAGGGTTCAGTCTTACCATTTTTCTATTGCTTTAGTGTAAAATATTTGTGTTCTCCTCTGACAGGCTTCTGCTTTACATAGGTTCCAGCTTTTATTGTATATTTAATAAGTGTCTATTATATGAGAAAGGAGTTCTGGTGGCATAGTGCTTAAGGCATTTGACTGCTAACCAGAAGGGTGGTGGTTCAAATCCACCAGCTACTCTGTGGAAGGAAGACTGGGCGATCTATTTCTGTAAAGATTTACCACCTCGGAAACCCAAAGGTGGTGGCTATGAGTCGGAATCGACTTGATGGCAGTGAGTTTTGGTTTTTTTGGGGATTATATGAAAAGGTCTGTCAAATGTTACTCATTCAATGATCACAATGGATTGAAGATCTAGATATTATCTCATTTTACAAGTAAAGAAATTGATCTCTGAGAGATTAAATGCTTTACTCTTAATACAGGTCTTTTCTCCCACACATCCAGCCTCAATTTCTTCAGATATGCCAAACTCAGTCCTCCAACATGGCCTTTATATTCGCTGCCTCTGGTGGTGCAGTGGGTAAGGCATTAGGCTGCTAACCAGAAGGTCAGCTGTTCAAACCCACCAGCTGCTTCACAGAAAGAAGATGGGGCAATCTACTCCTGTAAAGATTTACAGCCTTGGAAACCCTGAGTTGGAATCGACTCCATGGCAGCGAGGTGGTTTTTTTTTTTTTTTTTGGTTCTTCTAGGAATGTTCCTCCCCCAGTCATAGCAGAGTTAGTTGGCTCCTTTTCAGCCTTAAAATCTTGTTTAATG